AGTCATCATGTGGCCTTAACAATCTACAGTTATGGAATGGGTACGAGCAAATTTATTGTACCCCGATGGAGGAAACTATTTCCCGAGGCGTTGAAGCCGCCGAGCGAAATAGTTTCCTGCCGAAAAGAGCCATAAATTTGCAATTTCTCGAGTTCACATTCCATAACTGTTTTATTATACCGAAACAATCATAGGCGATTTTTAAATTTTTTTACCAGATATTCCGACATTAAAAAAAAACACTATAGAGGCATGATTACAGATGCTTGCGGATTGTATGATAAGTAAAGCATTGTTTCCTAAAACAATTAGAATTCAAGTATTATTTTTACATCGCAGTTCGAGATGTTTTGACGTCATAGTTACATTGCTAATAACATGTCGTCACAGACTCGAGATTCCTTGAACGCCCCGCCCACTGAACACTTTGATTGGTTAAAAGTACTAATAAATATTCACGCGGAGGTGGGGGCTAGTCCCAGGGAGTAGCTCTGATTTTTCAGGGAGTAGTCCTCAGATGAGCGAGATACTATATAGTAGTCTCTTCACGGGGAAATAGCAATTTTATGGTATACATTTTATACAGAGTAATTACAGTAGAGTTATAGGCCTAATAATAAAAGAAATTATCAACAGTTATGTTGCAGCTTCGCACTACACCAATACGCATTGAATAGAGCTAATTATGGCTGTTCAAATGAACTAAACTAACTTTTTCAAAGAAAGATGTATACCTCCTCTATGGTACCTGGTTCCATCGCTACTTTGCTCTGTCCAAAATTGTTTGATATAATTGACTCATTTATATTTCATCACAACAGATCTTTCGGTTTTAATAGTTTTGCACTTTATCAGTCTAATCTTAAAGGTAAAATAAATATGCAAATTTTGTTAGCCTGCATTAAAACATTTACTATATTCTAGGCAGTAACCAATTTATAAATGTTTAAACCATTCTGTCCAAACATATACACAGAATTTGTCAGTCTGCATATTTTTTTTTAATATTCTAGGCGGTCCCAAATTTAGTAAATGTTCAAACCACCAAGTCAAAGGTATTATAATGATTTTATCAGATTGTATAAAAACATTTATTTCGATTCTATAGACAGTGACAAATTTAGTAAATGTTCCGACAAAAGAGATTTTTTTTCCGTCATATTATTAATTTTATTTTATTTCCGTCATATTATTAATTTTATTTTTACCCCTTCCACTTAAATCATGCAATTTAAATAGTTGTCTTTTTCATAACAGATACGATTTTCTCTACACACCCGCAATTTACATCGGTTTGATTTTATGTATATAAAGAATAGACATACCTTTCTCCATATCACGTCCTGTATTAGCCCAGGACACCTATATCAACGGGCACTCTAGCTGATATTGGTGTCTTTCGGAGAAGGGTATGTATTAATAATTATGTTTTTAACATTCTTAGTTATAGAATGCAGCACACATCAACTTAAGAAAAATACAAATTAAGTAATGATTCATTGACAAATAACATGTAGCTAATTATATAAAAAAACAATAATTTACCCTATTGTAATGTTATTATAATACGAACTGAATGATGTACGAATTACTTTTATGTTGAGTCGTTGAATAAACGTTTCCTGTTTTGTACACACGTGTTGTCAGTTATGAATCCGCATATCCAGCCAGGGAACCCACATTATAAAACTAATACAAAACGATACATGGTGTCAGAAGTGGCGGATAGTTCCACCTTCACAAGTAAGACACGGCTATCATGGAATTATGCGGCATTCCCCCACCGACCATGGACTGGTCTAGTTCGAATTTGCCCGAAGCCCGGAAAAAGTTTGAACAACATGTGAAGCTGATTTTCGCAGGCCCATTGAAAGAAAAGGATGAAGAAGAACAAGTCTCATACTTTCTATTGTGGATTGGCGAGAAAGGTCGTGATATTTATAACACTTTCCCAACATTTTCGAACGATGACATGAAGAAACTACAACCACACTATGATAGATTTCTGAGGTACGTTCAACCCAAGTTAAACCCAATCTTCGCCAGATACAATGTAACGGTATTTTATAGTATTATTCTGTTTTATTGTTACGCAATGTTTGTTTACATGTCATTGCTCCGCGCGAGCAATGTCGTTACATAACTGACCCCGTTAAAAAAGATTGCTCCTCATGAGCAATGCATATTATGTATATATATAGGTCTAATAAAAGCTTAGGGGCGGTCAGTCTTATTAATTCTATTACGGTATATACATGTAGGAAAAAGTGCAGTTCGGCCAGTGATTTATTATGTGTGAAACTTGGATTTATTTGTGATGTAAATAAACTGTAAATGATTTTATTTTGCGTTTCATTTAAGCTAAAGCGTATGCTTTAGAGGTTGTAGAATTAAAGCCACATGGATTATTAATAAAATTGGAGTTATCTCACACTTGGATTATTTAAATAGAGCCGTTTACCGCTCGACGGCGCTACAGCAAGTTTAACAATGAAGTACAAGGAACAAACACGTATGATCAGTTTGTAACAAAACTGAAACTATTAGCAAGAGACTGCAATTTTAAAGACGCAGAGGAAATGATTAGAGACAGGGTTGTGTTTGGGATACAATCTGAAAAAATCCGGGAAAAACTTATTAACGTTGGCGAGACACTCACCCTGGATAAGGCTGTACAGATAGCTCAGGCATACCAGTACTCTCAAGAACAGCTCAAACTCATGGGACAGCAATCAGTACAAGCATTGTCCAAGTTTACACCCCATGCACACTCACCTGCAGAAAGGAGCGGTAGGAGACCAACCATCCAGACAAGGACGCGATCCACTCCGTCAAAGACTCCGACAAAGTTTCCGTCTACCCCGAAGACGAAGCCATGCGGCAAGTGCGGAAAGCGCCATGGAACACAAGAAACCTGTCCGGCACAAGGTCAGAGGTGCAACAACTGCCACAAGTGGAACCACTTCGCCAGTGTGTGTCGTTCGAGATCCGTAAATGACATTAACCATGTGAACTCAAGTGACTGTCTGCAGAAGCCCAGTGAAATAAACAATGTTAATCGTGCAAGTGACAGTACACAGAGATCTGTTGACATTTATCATGAAACATGTAATGTACTTGGCAATGTTGTTCATGAGTCAGATTCAGATTTTAATATTGACAATGTTGATAGCAATGTTGAGCATGATCAAGCATTTATCAACATTAAACTAGGCCCAAACCACAAAGAGGTTAGGTTCAATGTAGATACAGGGTCACAAGTCAATATTTTGCCCGAATCTTTGTACATTGATTTAGCCCCCTATCACACATTAGGCAAATCTAAGATCAAGCTATTTGCTTATAATGGCCACTCTGTACACCCCATAGGATATTCTGTTATTCAACGCAACCTTAAGGGTAAGGATTATAGCATAGAGTATCAGGTCGTATAGACACATTCGCATCCAATTCTAGGTTTACGAGCATGCTTAGATTTAGGCATAGTTCACCTCACTTACTCTATTGATTAGGTTATGCCCTTCAGTAAGAGTCATGTAGTCAGTACTCAGATGTATTTCACGGCATAGGTCTGTTTGCAGGAGAATGTACTTTTCAGGTTGATCCAAATGTTAGACCGGTTGTCAACCCCCCGCGCAAGGTGCCTGTAGCCCTATGCGACAAGCTAAAAGTAGAAGTAGACAGAATGGAGTCAGCGCAGATCATCACCAAGGTAACAGAACCAACAGAATGGGTGAACTCATTAGTCGTTACTACAAAGCCAGCATCAGGAAAGCTTAGAGTATGTTTGGATCCAATGGAACTTAACAAAGCCATTATGAGACCACATTACCCTATGAGGACCTTGGATGATATCCTTCCTCAAGTCTCAGGTGCCAAGTACTTTTCCAAGTTAGATGCCAGCTCTGGTAACTGGACTGTTAGACTTTCACGTGAATCATCACTGCTCACTACATTCAATACTCCATTCGGGAGATATCGTTACCTGCGTTTACCATTTGGCTTGAAGAACTCACAAGACATCTTCCAGCAGAAGATAGACCAATGCTTCGAAGGAATGTCCGGAGTTGCTGCCATTGTTGATGACATATTGGTGTACGGCAGGACCCCGCAGGAGCACAATGACAACCTCATCAAGGTATTAGATAAATGCAGGTGTGTGGGCATCAAGATGAACAAGGAGAAGTTACAAGTGGGAGTTCAGGAAGTTGAATATTTTGGCCACATCCTCTCAGCAGATGGATTGAAGCCAGATCCCTCTAAGGTAGCTGCTATCAGGGATATGGAGCCTCCTTCCAATAAGTCAGAGCTTCAGACTATCATGGGTATGATCACTTACCTCTCAAAGTTCGCACCAAATCTTGCTAACATCAACTGCACATTACGTCAGCTGCTGCTGAAAGACACGGAATTTATATGGGCTACACCACAGGCCCAGGCATTCCAGAAGGTCAAAGACCTTATTACCAGAACACCTGGACCTCTGCTTACATACTTCGACCCGAGAAAACCAGTAGTGTTGGAGACTGACGCATCTCAGTTTGGGCTCGGAGCAACACTTTTACAGGATGGTAAACCAGTTGCATTTGCTTCAAAGTCACTAACCCCAGCGGAAATCAAGTACAACCAGATAGAAAAGGAGATGTTGTCTATCCTTTTTGGCTGCAAGAAATTTCACCAGTACCTATATGTTAGGGAAGTCCAGGTCCATACAGACCACAAACCCCTAGTTGCCATTCACGCAAAGCCACTCGCACAGGCTCCAGCTAGATGTCAAAGGATGCTTTTGCAACTGCTGATCTGAAGTTGACACACATCCCAGGCAAGGACATACCTATTGCGGATACCCTTTCACGCAAGTTTTTGCCAGATACTTACCCACAGCTCACCGCAGGTATGGACTTACACGTGCACACAGTTATGTCCAGTACAAGGATGAGTGATAGAAGATTAGAGGAAGTCAGATTAGCAACCCAAGCGGACCCACAGATGAGATACTTATGAACATTATACACCATGGTTGGCCCGAAAAACGCAAGAAATGTCCATCCCAAGCACTAGAATATGAACTGACAGAGATAGATGGCATTATATTTAAGGGTCACAAGATACTCATACCAAGAGACTTAAGAAGCCAGATGATGGAAGCTGTACATATAGGTCACATGGGTATGGAAAAAAGCTTTAGGAGAGCTAGAGACATTAAATTTTGGCCCAGGATGTCAGCAGACATCACGAACATGGTTCTGGAATGTGGAGTTTGGTTAGAGAGAAGAAACTCGAACACTCAAGAGCCACTGATCAGCCATGATATTCCAGACTATTCATGGGAGACCATATCTACAGATTTGTTCACATGGAGCAACCAGGAGCATCTCTTAGTAGTCGATTACTACAGTAGATACTTTGAAGTAGAGAAACTACACAAGACAACCAGTCAAGCTGTTATAGACAGGATGAAGAAGATGTTAAGTAGGCTTGGTATTCCACGAAAAGTCGTATCGGATAATTGTCCGCAATACACAAGCCAAGATTTATCCACATTTGCTCAGGATTATGACTTTAGCCATGTCACTTCCAGTCCAAAGTATCCAAAGTCCAATGGACTAGCGGAGAAGACAGTACAGATTGCCAAAAGAATTTTGGACAAGAGCAAGGCAGATGGGAAAGATTATAACCTAGGATTAGTGGAATACAGGACAACGCCTTTGAGCTTAGGCTACTCGCCCGCCCAACTTTTGATGAGTCGCAAGTTGAGGTCCATACTTCCAGTAGTTCCAGATGATCTGAAACCAAAGGTGCCAGTCAGGGTCAAGGAATTGATGGAAGCAGAGAGAGAGAAACAGAAAGGATACTATGATCGCAGTGCTAAGCCTTTTCCACTCCTTTCAGTAGGAGACAGTATAAGGTACCAAGAAGGGAAACTATGGAAACAAGGAATAGTCACCAAGGAAGAAGGAGACAGATCGTACACAGTTAAAAGCACCGAAGGAGCAGTATACCGGAGAAACAGACGACACCTGATCAAGTCAAAAGAAAAGTTCGAGCCTGATGTGTCAGATTCCAATATCGTCAATTTCAGAGAACCTTCTACTTCACCCCCCATTCGAACTAGTCCTTCCAATCCTGTTGAACCAATCTCAGAAACAGCTACTGAGGCAAAGCATGACTCCCCTGCTACATGTAATCCCACCCCTTATATAACTCGTTATGGTAGGATTGTTAAGCCCAAAGTAATTTTGTCAATGTAGATGTTATAGTAAGAAAATGGTCTTGTTATGTCGAACATGTGTTTTCAGATTTTGTTCCTTTGTTTTTGTTTGCATACATGTTATTCACTCAAAAGAAGAGAGATGTTATGTTATTATAGTACGAACTGAATGATGTACGAATTACTTTTATGTTGAGTCGTTGAATAAACGTTTCCTGTTTTGTACACACGTGTTGTCAGTTGTGAATCCGCATATCCAGCCAGGGAACCCACATTATAAAACTAATACAAAACGATACACCTATTTTAAGGTTAAATCAATTAGGCGTGTGATATCAATCTTTATTACATTCTTAGTAATAGATATATGATTTTTGCATATGCGATGTGCCTGACGTCAGAATAGCATTATCAGCCCTGCAGGGCTGATATGGATTTGCGGGGCTGAGACGGATTTGCAGGGCTAATAGGTATACGGATCAATATCACACCCTTAGTAATCTAAACCTCAAAATACAGTATTTGTGATCATACACATATATTGTGGGTTACATTCTCTTAAGGTATGTCACTTGTGAAATTTGTTAAATCAAGGATTTATTGAGAAGTATATTTTGGATAAGTACTCATATAGAGTGACTCAAAATCGCAGAGAAAATAGGGCATCGGTGTTCATCTTACTTATCTACGGTACAATTAAGTTGACCTTTTTTGCACTTAGATTTTAACCCTTTGGTTACCTAAACCTTTATTATATTTTATAATATGCAATCATGGCAAAAAATTATCTAATTTTACCTAAAATATTTTGAATAATGTTTATCATTGAAAAAATGTTCCAAATTAACGCGTGTAAATTATTTCGTGACCTTATTGCTCTAAAAAGTAGCATATTTCGCTGTATTAAATAACTAAATAGGCAATAAAACATTTTCTTAAATTAAGATTTTTACGACTTAAGTGCTGATCAGTCACAAGTATCGAGTACTTTAAAATAACGAAAGATAAAGTTGGGGTCCTTGATGTTTATTTGGAAATATTCGTCAAAATATGTGATTTTCAGGCAAGAATGGTGCTAATTTCATATTGATTTATTTGACATATCTTCATTTTTTGGCAAAATTTATGGCACATTTTTGACAAAGTTTGTTGAAGGAAGGAGTAAAACTTGTTCTAAAAATATAAATTAAGACCTATATCAAATATATATATATATAAGATATTTAATTTAATAAATATGCAAATTTACAGATTAATCTGCTATTTATCTGCTAAACATCCTTCCGCCCCGTGGGGATCCGGGTTAGAATTGGTCCTCAGTACCCCATTGCTTGTCGTAAAAGGCGACTAAATGGGGCGGTCCTTCGGATGAGACCGTATAAACCGAGGCCCCGTGTCACAGCAGGTGTGGCACGATAAAGATCCCTCCCTGCTCAAAGGCCGTAAGTGCCGAGCATAGGCCTAAATTTGCCGCCCTTCACCGGCAATGGTGACGTCTCATTATCAGTGAAATATTCTGGAGAGGGACGTAAAACAGTATACAATCAATCAATCAATAAACATCCTTCCACCACAAAAATTGTCTCTCAAAAATTTTCTTTGTAGCTTTTAGAACTGTTTTTTTTTTTGTTGAATGTTAAAACATAAACATTATTGAAATTAAATATGTTATAAAAATTGAATTTCTATAATTAGTTTTGAAGTAAGAGTTCTGCGAGAACTTTTCTAAAAAGCTGACGAGTGACCTACCTTAATTATAACTTTTTGAATAGATTATTTTCAATTTACGGATCCAGCACATTTCAAATAGAACTCGTGCCGAAACAAACTCAAACTAAATGAGAAAATAGACCGTGTATATTTGTAAGAAGTCCGTGCATAAATATATATTACTTATTTTCTTTTCAACTTAAAGTGTTCTGTATTTTATTTCTAAGTATGAAATAAACACAATAAAACGTACCCTTTTCCTCATCACATCTTGTTTTCGGTCCTCGGCCCTCAGTTAAATGTTTATCTGTTAAATTTGCTAAGTAAAATATGACTGTTAATTAACTACTGTAGACGAACTTTTTTTTCCATGGAGTCATAATTCCGCGGAATCTCAATGTATTTTTAATTCGTGGGTAAAAAAAATTACGCGGATTTTTTTAGATTGTCACTATATGTCTTACGTTTTCATCAAGTACGCTTGGACAAATTTACGCGGAAATGTTATGACTGCGTTCATAACGTAAATAAATACCACGCGGAAAAAATGCTTCCACAGTATTAACTTTACTATATTTTACTCCTACTCTTGTAACTTTATTTCACATTTCAGCTGTTCTGAACGCGATATCTGGACTTTGAATGTCAGTTTCAATATCTATTTTGGGGTCACAATAATACACTGTACCTTAGTAAAAAATGTACATCATTTTGACATCTGATTGACAATATTTATGTGTTTTGTGGAGACCAGGTCTTCCAACAATCTATTGAAATTCCCATTGGTACAGGAAGAAAGAAAATACTTGCTGTCGCCTTCAACTCGACATTTAGATATATCGACGATGCATTGTCGATTAACAATGGTAATTTCCATTCCTGTGTCGATATGATTATATCCTTGTGAGCTTGAGATAAAGAACACAACAGAGTCTGATACATCTGCTTCTTACTTGGATATTTTACTTGAAAAAGACGTTAATTGTAATCTCTATGTAGCAACCAATCTCCATGAAAAACTTGATGACTTTAACTTTTTATCGTCCATTTCCCTTGCATATGCAGCAATGCATATACCTTCATAAACTGCATACGGAGTGTATATATGTCTGTCGATTCGATACACAAGAGCATGCTCTATGTCTGAACAATCTATAAAACAAGGTAAATTATAGACAAGCAAGCAGGTCGATACAATGACCTTATCAGCAAGTATAAATTATCTTTGAGTGAAATGCTGACTGGCGTTTTTCATACTAATCGTAAGTCCAGTAGATATACATGGAATGACGACGGTTTATTGCTGTTATTTCCCGATCGTGAGGAGGAGCACACAGCGGATGTGATCGGTCAGCAGGGGATTTCCATTCCTCCATGACATTTTATCCCACCATGATGTTTCGGAGGTCAATGTTTGCTTTGCTTCTGTTTTCTATTTATGGACTTTGATACTGAACACTGATTGTTATCTCCATATCCTTCACGAACCACTGGGTCAGGAAACATGTGGAAGCATCTTCTGCTAGTGTAAATTCAAGATTGTTCAAATCATAACCCCCAGCGGTATGGTTGGCCCAAGATGGGGGCACAAAGTATAACATAGGAATACATATTGGAAAATCCTTTAAATTCTTCTTCTTAAGGTCAAGATCTAGTAAATGGAAGATGCCTACAGATTTATCAAACTTGAGAAATCAATTCCTTTATTGATATTTTACAACTTTCGCTTGGTCATATAAGGCGTTTCGTGGCATAATGTGTAGTTAAATAAGATGAAAAACTGTAATTTAAACTGTCATTTTCAATGAAAAATTAAGAAAACCAGTCATGAATACGGGAGTTTTTTCGTATTCGGCAAAGGAAATGTATCCAGATTGCCTACAGTCTCTCAGAAAACCATAATTAGTATGTTCATGGCCTCTTCTTTAAATAAGTATCAAATTTAATACAGGTATCCGGTTTACTTTTCATATAATTTTAAATCGAATGACATGAAAATACCCCATTTTCTACATAATTCTGCTAAAGCCGTAAAGTACGGGAAAAAGAAAGTTGAAATTGATTATGACGTCATAATGGATCTAGCACCAAAAATTAGTCTCAAGTTATTTACTAGATCTTGACCTTAAGAAAAGCTAAGCCACGATTGGTCGTAGTTATATAGAAACATCCTCATGTGGTGTAGATTCAAGATACTTTTTAAATCATGACTCAACTTGAATTTTTTTTATATTTAAAATGTTCAATACTGAAATGATTTTTGCATATAGTTTTACAAAGCCAAAGCTCGAGTGAGCGGTGTGGCGCCTGAGACTCGTGTTATAAGTAAACTTTGCTTGAATTTTTATAATCACAGGATGAAAAATCCATCCTTCAGTCAACCCAAATATTAAATGAAAGATGTGGAAAGGCGACTGAAGGGCAGAGACCAGCAATCTGTCATTCAAATGAATGACAGATATTTTATCTTATGCATCTTAAGGGGGGATTTGTAACTTTTTCATCACCATTTCTCAAATTTGTTTTTGTGCATTGTCTTAAGGGGGGATGTTTAACTTTTTTCATCACCATTTCTCAAATTTGTTTTTGTGCAATGTCCTTCACATTTTTAGTATGTTTGTGTGAAGTATATAAAGAGGGTTGTAGGAACGTTTACTACAAGCAGAGATGTATCTTGAATTATAATGTTTATATGAATTTCAATATACATTGAATGTATGTGCTCGGAAAGTTTAGAAAATTTATATTGACACATTTTTTAAAGAAAGAGACTTATGTGCATATTTTGGATTCACGTGTAGAATTAAAGTTAAGGTACTTTTTAAGTTGTCACTGTGAGCCTCACAAGCAAAGATAATGCTGTACCTGCTTTTTCATCATGGTCGTGTAATCTACTTAGTTTTTTTTAAATAAAAGGACCTGTAGAATAGTCGTGTTTGTTTATATATCTGTACACACACATTCTGTTGTTGTTCAATGACCCTACCAAGAGCTCGAGTTGATGCGTTATGCCATTATTACTCAAGCTACATGGTATTTCTATTCCGTGATAATGTGTCTGTATTAGTGATAGAAAAACACCATCCTTGTCCTCTATTTGTACAACGTCAGTGTAACCATCACACCCCAGGATGTGTGACAGCGCGTCTGTACAGAGTCCTTTTGGACTAAGCCAGGACGGCCCTGATGGGTGTTCTGTGAAAAAGAAGCTATGTCTTCCCTCCCGCGTTGTCACCATAGCAAAGCATAAGTAAGAAACAATAACGTCTCCATTGCGGTTCTCCGTGATATACACAGGATGACTGTACAGTTCCTGTCTTGTATAAGTGTGTTGTATTGTCTGTATCTGTTGTCCTATCTGGTTATACTATGTACAGTTCTGTATTTGAGTGTTGTATTGTTTGTATCTGTTGTTCTATGTGGTTATACTATGTACAGTTCCTGTCCTTTATTTGTGTGTAGTATTGTCTGTATCTGTTGTCCTATGTGGTTATACTATGTACAGTTCCTGTTCTGTATTTGTGTGTTGTATTGTCTGTATCTGTTGTACTATGTGGTTATACTATGTACAGTTCCTGTATTTGTGTGTTGTATTGTCTGTATCTGTTGTCCTATGTGGTTATACTATGTACAGTTCCTGCCCTGTATTTGTGTGTTGTATTGTCTGTATCTGTTGTCCTATGTGGTAATACAATGTACAGTTCCTGTATTTGTGTGTTGTATTGTCTGTATCTGTTGTCCTATGTGGTTATACTATGTACAGTTCCTGTCTTGTATTTGTGTGTTGCATTGTGTGTATCTGTCGTCCTATGTGGTTATACCATGTACAGTTGCTATCCTATATTTGTGTGTTGTATTGTCTGTATCTGTTGTCCTTTGTGGTTATACTATGTATAGTTTCCGTTCTGTATTTGTGTGTTGTATTGTCTGTATCTGTTGTCCTATGTGGTTATACTATGTACAGTTCCTGTCTTGTATTTGTGTGTTGTATTTTCTGTATCTGTCATCCTATGTGGTAATACTATGTACAGTTCCTGTCTTGTATTTGTGTGTTGTATTGTCTGTATCTGTTGTCTTATGTGGTAATACTATGTACAGTTCCTGTCCTGTATTTGTGTGTTGTATTGTCTGTATCTGTTGTCTTATGTGGTAATACTATGTACAGTTCCTGCCCTGTATTTGTGTGTTGTATTGTCTGTATCTGTTGTCCTATGTGGTTATACTATGTACAGTTCCTGTCTTGTATTTGTGTGTTGTATTTTCTGTATCTGTCATCCTATGTGGTTATACTATGTACAGTTCCTGTCCTTTATTTGTGTGTAGTATTGTCTGTATCTGTTGTCCTATGTGGTTATACTATGTACAGTTCCTGTTCTGTATTTGTGTGTTGTATTGTCTGTATCTGTTGTCCTATGTGGTTATACTATGTACAGATCCTGTCCTGTATTTGTGTGTTGTATTGTCTGTATCTGTTGTCCTATGTGGTTATACTATGTACAGATCCTGTCCTGTATTTGTGTGTTGTATTGTCTGTATCTGTTGTCCTATGTGGTTATACTATGTACAGTTCCTGTCCTGTATTTGTGTGTTGTATTTCTGTATCTGTTGTCCTATGTAGTTATACTATGTACAGTTCCTGTCTTGTATTTGTGTGTTGTATTGTCTGTATCTGTTGTCCTATGTGATTATACTATGTACAGTTCCTTTATTTGTGTGTTGTATTGTCTGTATCTGTTGTCCTATGTGGTTATACTATGTACAGTTCCTGTCCTGTATTTGTGTGTTGTATTTCTGTATCTGTTGTCCTATGTGGTTATACTATGTACAGATCCTGCCCTGTATTTGTGTGTTGTATTGTCTGTATCTGTTGTCCTATGTGGTTATACTATGTAGAGTTCCTGTCCTGTATTTGTGTGTTGTATTTCTGTATCTGTTGTCCTATGTGGTTATACTTTGTACAGTTCCTGTCCTGTATTTGTGTGTTGTATTTCTGTATCTGTTGTCCTATGTGGTTATACTATGTACAGTTCCTGTCCTGTATTTGTGTGTAGTATTGTCTGTATCTGTTGTCCTATGTGGTTATACTATGTACAGATCCTGTCCTGTATTTGTGTCTTGTATTGTCTGTATCTGTTGTACTATGTGGTTATACTATGTACAGTTCCTGCTCTGTATTTGTGTGTTGTATTGTCTGTATCTGTTGTCCTATGTGGTTATACTGTGTACAGTTCCTGTCCTGTATTTGTGTGTTGTATTGTCTGTATCTGTTGTCCTATATGGTTATACTATGTACAGTTCCTGTATATGTGTGTTGTATTGTCTGTATCTGTTGTCCTATGTGGTTATACTATGTACAGTTCCTGTATTTGTGTGTTGTATTGTCTGTATCTGTCATCCTATGTGGTTATACTATGTACAGTTTTTGTCCTGTATTTGTGTGTTGTATTGTCTGTATCTGATGTCCTATATGGTTATACTATGTACAGTTCCCGTCTCTTGTATTTGTGTGTTGTATTGTCTGTGTCTGTTGTACTATGTGGTTATACTAAGTACAGTTCCTGTCCTGTATTAGTGTGTTGTATTGTCTGTATCTGTCATCCTATGTGGTTATACTATGTACAGTTCCTGTATATGTGTGTTGTATTGTCTGTATCTGTTGTCCTATGTGGTTATACTATGTACAGTTCCTGTATTTGTGTGTTGTATTGTCTGTATCTGTTGTCCTATGTGGTTATACTATGTACAGTTCCTGTCCTGTATTTGTGTGTTGTATTGTCTGTATCTGTTGTCCTATGTGGTTATACTATGTACAGTTCCTGTCCTGTATTTTTGTATTGTTTTGACTGTATCTGTTGTCCTATGTGGTAATACTATATACAGTTCCTGTATTTGTGTGTTGTATTGTCTGTATCTGTTGTCCTTTGTGGTTATACTATGTACAGTTCCTGTCCTGTATTTATGTGTTGTATTGCCTGTATCTGTTTTCCTATGTGGTTATACTATGTAGAGATCCTGACCTGTATTTGTGAGTTGTATTGTCTGTATCTGTCATCCTATGTGGTTATACTATGTACAGTTTTTGTCCTGTATTTGTTTGTTGTATTGTCTGTATCTGATGTCCTATATGGTTATACTATGTACAGTTCCCGTCTCTTGTATTTGTGTGTTGTATTGTCTGTGTCTGTTGTACTATGTTGTTATACTATTTACAGTTCCTGTCCTGTATTTGTGTGTTGTATTGTCTGTATCTGTTGTCCTATGTGGTTATAATATGTACAGCTCCTGTCCTGTATTTGTGTGTTTTATTGTGTGTATTTGTTGTCCTATGTGGTTATACTATGTACAGTTCCTGTATTTGTGTGTTGTATTGTTTGTATCTGTTATCCTATGTGGTTATACTATGTACAGTTCCTGTATTTGTGTGTTGTATTGTCTGTATCTGTTGTCCTATGTGGTTATACTATGTACAGTTCCTGTCCTGTATTTGTATGTTGTATTGTCTGTATCTGTTGTCCTATGTGGTTATACTATGTACAGTTCCTGTCCTGTATTTTTGTATTGTTTTGACTGTATCTGTTGTCCTATGTGGTAATACTATATACAGTTCCTGTATTTGTGTGTTGTATTGTCTGTATCTGTTGTCCTTTGTGGTTATACTATGTACAGTTCCTGTCCTGTATTTATGTGTTGTATTGCCTGTATCTGTTTTCCTATGTGGTTATACTATGTAGAGATCCTGACCTGTATTTGTGAGTTGTATTGTCTGTATCTGTCATCCTATGTGGTTATACTATGTACAGTTTTTGTCCTGTATTTGTGTGTTGTATTGTCTGTATCTGATGTCCTATATGGTTATACTATGTACAGTTCCCGTCTCTTGTATTTGTGTGTTGTATTGTCTGTGTCTGTTGTACTATGTGGTTATACTAAGTACAGTTCCTGTCCTGTATTTGTGTGTTGTATTGTCTGTATCTGTCATCCTATGTGGTTATACTATGTACAGTTCCTGTATTTGTGTGTTGTATTGTCTGTATCTGTTGTCCTATGTGGTTATATTATGTACAGTTCTTGTCCTGTGTTTTTGTATTGTTTTGTCTGTATCTGTTGTCCTATGTGGTTATACTATGTACAGTTCCTGTATTTGTGTGTTGTATTGTCTGTATCTGTTGTCCTATGGGGTTATACTGTGTACAGTTCCTGTCCTGTATTTGTGTGTTGATTTGTCTGTATCTGTTGTTCTATGTGGTTATACTATGTACAGTTTTTGTCCTGTATTCGTGTGTTGTATTGTCTGTATCTGTTGTCCTATGTGGTTATACTATGTACAGTTCCTGTATTTGTGTGTTGTATTGTAAGTATCTGTTGCCCTATGCGGTTATACCGTGTAACTTTTACTCTCCATGTAGATGTATCACTTCTGTACATTCCTAACAATAGTTCTGCAGTGGATGAAGAACAGTACACACACAGTGGCACGTATGATCCTGTTCTCGTTAGCAATGTAGACTTTGTTCTCATATCTGTAGATAATTTTAAATATTACAAACATTGTCTAGATAGATAAGTCCTCTTGTAACGCTGAATATATGTGCCCAATATCCTCCACTGATATCTCTGAACTGAAGTTGTCTCTCGGCTGATGTATTTGTCAATACGTGATTGTTATTATCACTGATCCAGACTTGAAAACTTCACTTCTGATGTAATGGATTATTTTTCCGAGTTGTTGTCTTTTTGTTTTATACACCGATTTAACATCCTTTAATTTGTGTTTCCTGTGCAATGGAAACAAATAGGAAGTTTACATGAATGACAGAACATTTCATAAATTATGTTGGGATGTTTTACAGAGGTCTCAAGTTTTAATTTGCCGTTATATTTCTCCCGTGAAATCACAACATCATGATATATGCTCTCCAAATTATCTACATGTTTTTCTTTGCATTGAAGGCACAGGTTATTTCTACACGTGTTACAGTAGTATTCGGTTATCTGCTGACATTGAGAACACTGTCGTACTCTACACTGTTTGCTGAATCCTTTTCCCATCATTCAAAAGGAACAGGATCTGCTGAAATAAATCGGATTAGGTCAGAATGCATACGGAAAGTTTGAATTATGCATATCTTGATGAAACATATGAAGATAACAAATAGTATGCGAGATAAAATGTCTATAAAACAATACAAAACAGGAGAAGAGCAAAGGACGGACCTCCAAATTATCGGAAGTAGAATCAGGTGCCATGGAGGAGTGAAGATCCACTGTCGACCGGTCACACCCGCTGTGTGCTCCTTGTTATGATCAGGAAATAACGGAAACTCCATCGTCAATTCAGTGTCTAAATAATGGACTAACAATAAGTTTGAAAAAAGTCTGTCGGGATTTGACTCAATAATACATTGTATTTGCTGACGATGTCATTGTATCGACCATAAAACATATTCGTGTTTCTTCATTTGTTTGTCAACATTTTACCTCGTTTTAGAAATTGTTCATAAGTAGAGCATGTTCTTGTGTATCGAATCATAAAATCCATATGCAGGTGATGACATGCGATTCGCTTCATATTGGTTCACCTCTTTAATTGCTGTTGGTCCATTATTTATATAATGAATTGACGACGAATTTTTCCATTTTTTATGTTAAGGAGCACACGGCAGGTGTGACCGGTCGGCAGGGGATGCTCACGTCTCCATGGCACATTGTCCCACTTCAAATATTTTGGAGGTCCGTGTTTGCTCTGCTTTTGTTTTGTATTGTTTTATGGAATTTTGATATTGAATACTGTTCCTTATCCCCATATGTCTGACTCCAAACGGAATCGAGAAGAGGAAAATATATTTAAGAAATGAATTCATTTTTTGAAGTTTCATGAGTAAATGAACTACGACGCTTCAAGCAGGCATAGTGTTAACGTTTAATGATAAATTTGCCTACCTGTAGCGTCGTAGTTCATGTACCTTATGAATTTATTTTTTATATAAAAATTTACATATTTTCTGATAAGGAGCCACAATTCAACTGTCATTTTACAAAGCAAATCAGTTTCTACTATAGTTTTAACGTCAGGTAAGGTATCATGACGTATTAATGGAAATATTCATGCTCACCCATTGTTTATGTGAAAATTAACAATCATCCAATTTGCAAAGAGTATTAAGGAAATGTGTTTGGAAATGAAAATAAACGTGTACATATTATGCAATTTCTCAAATGATCAACATATGCATATCGTTTCATATGAGAATTATATGTGGATCATATATATATATATATATATATATATATATATATATATATATATATATATATATATATATATATATATATATATATACAATAATGTGAGAATCATATGTGATGCCTTTATTATCATTATCATATGAAACCAATCATATTATGGATCATCTGTGGCAAAGTGGCCTGTATACACACATATATATATTTTTATTTCTGAAACCAATCTGTTTTTGCGTTTGTCTTCATTCCTCCATCTTAATAATCCTGAAGTGTGTCACTTTATTTTTATCTCTGACTTTGTCTATGACAAGAGGGCTAACAGTTTGTGTTGCAAATACAGCTATCTTATTTCACCAAAAAATGTATGTTGCAAATAGATAGTAAACATTATAAAGTTCACTTAAGGTAGGTCACTCGTCAGCTTTTTGAAAAAGTTCACACAGAACCTCTTACTTCAATACTATCTACCAAAATTCTATTTCTAAAACATATTCAATTTCAACAAAGTTAATTTTTTTAATTTTCAACGAAAATGTTAACACTGCTCAAAAAGCTACAAAGAAGCAAAATTTGCGAGGGACTATTTTTTGCGGTGGTGGGATATTTACTGATAATTCTGCAAATCTGCAGAGTTAATTAATTTGATATCTTGGAACTTTAGACTCACTAACATGTACTTTTACTCAGAGAATATCTTCCATTATGATATTGCTAGGAATATTTATTGAAGGCTTCAATTTATATTTTTAGAACAAGTTTTACATCTTCCTTGAACAAACTTTGCCAAAAAATGAAGATATGTCTAATTAGTCAATATAAAATTTAAACCATTTTTTGCCTGAAAATCACATATTGTGACCAATATTTCAAAATTGTCATCACTGGCCCGGTTATATGGTTACATCTGATAAAATATTATTAAGGTTTAAGTTATTAACCAAATAGTTAAAATTTATGTGCAAAAAGGTCAACTTCACTTACCGTAAATCAATAGGACACTGACCCCCCTATTTTCTCTGCGATTTTGAATACTTACAAAAATATACTTCTCAATAAATCCTTGATTTTACAATTTCACTAGTGACATAGCTAAATTTGTTGCAAATAGATTAGAAAACATGAAAATGTTCACTTAAGATCGCAAAGCCTTAAAGTATATAAACACCACAATTTCAATGTTGTACCACAAAATTGGGGCAACCGGAAGTTGAGAGGACTGGATATTGATACCAAGGCATTGGATCACAAGCAGGCGATATAAAAGTCAATTATTGCATATTATTTGATTTTTTTTATCTGAGAGACTGTTTCTGGTTTAATCTCAAAGACAATTATTGGTAACTAGCAATGCATATTTTGGAAAAAAAAAGTGCGCAGTGCTCACAAAGATTCTGAGATACGTGATTTTTCAAAGCAGTTTACAAAATATATCCAAAAATAAAACTGGGCGACAGTGGCAGACACTACTTTCTAAATGAAAATAAGCAAGGAAATGAGTCATTTTGAGGCTTTTCTGCATTAAAACTTAGAAATGTACCAAATTAATGACGTCATATTTCCAGAACGGTCCTACTTCATTCCATATTCTTTAATGTTTTAGCATATTCATCTACTCAACCCTTGTTAAAGCCAATTTCATAACTTTTTAAGAGATTTAATGTTTAGGGCACAATAAAGCCCAAACCCTACCTTCCTCTTTACCATGTGAAAACAAATTATTTGTCTTTTTTCTATCATGCGTAAAGTCCGGCAAGGGTCTATGAGATAAGTGACTTTAGAATTGAAAGACGGTAAAATTGTTTGATAAAAGTTTCAGTTGGAGTGAATTGATATGTTTGAATTATCTGGTTATCACAGATCTTACTGTGTCAGCAAATTGTTTTAATATGTCGCACGTATAAAATGTGAATCGTTACTGTGTCGGAGAAAATTTTACTGTGTGATGACCAACAAAGTAAAACAGCTCATGGAGAACTCCGAGCATAATTTTTTTGTATGAATTTTCGGGCAGTCAAAAACTTCTAGCAATCTATACTTGTCAAAATTTCTAAGTCTCCACTTTTATTTTTTTCAAAAAGTTAAAAACCTTGACTTCAATTTACTAGTTGCTTACAAATTTGCCTTTTATTTGCAATACTTACCTGTCAAGGCCAAAAAAATTGTAATCGAATGTGTAATTACTTGACCGTGACCGTTTTTGTTGAAAAGCACGACGTTCGAGTTCCATATGTTTTTCGGGTGTATTCGTAATATTTTTTTTACTTCCATGTGTTCTCCATCTTTTATTTAAAACGAAAAACAGAAAATGTTTGACTAAAATGTGGTGCATGTCCACACAGCAACTTGCAAGTGAAGTTGAAATGGCCCAAGCTGGCCGTAGTAAAGGAAAATTCTGTTGTTCTTCACTGTATGACTTTATTTTACTAAAATCCATTATAATTACCGCTCAAAAAACCTGCAAAGCTTACCTGAATTCTTTTAATCGTTACAAATTGCTAGATTTTCAACAAACACCACAAAATCTTTCTAGAGTTTATCCGGAAAAAATCCATGGAACAGGACAATTTCGATAAGCCTCCTTGTCTTCCTTATCTCAACCCTAAATAGCATGTATGAAATCAAATTGACCAGAGTGTGAGACAGCTTTTCCAGCAGCAGAATCTAGCTGAACTAGAGGATCCACATGGAAAAACATTCAATAAAATAGGAATAGGTTTTCTTAAATAGTGTGAACTCTTTGAGGAACGGTTGTCTTGATTTGAATTCGTTTGAATGGAGAATAATGCAGTATTAAACGTTGTGAATTTTTAATTCTAGGGTCCCTTAACGTTTCTGCATATTTTGTTAAAGCGCTTCGATAAAATAAATTAAGTAAGGAAAACCATGTTCCTAGTTTAATATCCTGTATACTTATTAAATTATACTGTTGAAATAATTCAATATAAGAGCAGTGTAAAGCAAAAACTTGCCTGGGAACTTTGACTAGTATATATAGGGGGATGTCAAAATCGTTAAAGTTTAGGGAAAGAATTATATCGTTATTTTTCCCCATCTTATTGAAATCATGCTTTTCAAAATATTCTTCATTCAGATAAAAACTTCCTCCATCCCAAAATCAAATTTTATTTCCTTTTCTATACAAGTATGAGATTAAACAAATGCCAATTAAGTGTAATACTGCCATGAAATTTTAGATATGTACTTTAGATTTTAAACATATTAGATATTATAAAAAGGAGGCATCCTTTACATATCAACCTTGAATAAAGTTCTCTCCCCAGACAGAAGATTTGTGTTTTAATGGTCTCCATGTTTATTTTTGGAAAGGATATATATGTAGTTTTATCCAACCATTATGATGCCGAGATTTGATCATTTCTGACAAATAAACTGTTCTTGTCATAAAAATTAACTCAAAGTGAAGGAAATATAAAAATCAGAAAAATCTTTTAACTTTTGTGACAGAACGCTGCGGAAGGGGTCACGTGACCGCCGATATTACGTGATTCGCACATGCTCAGAACGGTAGTTGATGTGCATCAAAATCGGAGAGGATTGATTTAAAATATAGTCAACATTGAAACCAAATATTGTTTCGTCTATGGAAATTATTCAATTAGTTCAATTACTTCTTGATCACCCCTCGTGCTTCGGAAAACAAAATTCCAAAATAGCATAATTTGAATCAAAAGGTACCAGTAGCTGAGTTTATTACTAACGATATCTTGGTAACTTTACTGCCAGCCCATGTGGAACATCCAAGAGATTATCTTTATCAGCGGTATCAGTTGATATCAGCGAGGTAACAAACCAGCTACTTTAAAAATATCAACATTTGTCTCCAAAAATAGCATAATTTGAAACAAAAGGTACTAGTAGCTGAGTTTATTACTAAGGGTATCTTGGTAACTTTACTGCATGATCATGTAAAATATCCTCAAGATTATTTTTATCAGCAATATCAGTTTATATCAGCGAGGTTACAAACCAGCTACTTCAAAAATAGTAGGCAGTTACTAGCAGCCAACTATGTAAGGGATAAATAACGAGATGGTGTTGAATAGTTTAGAGAAAACATTCTCTCCGAGGGCCGAAGGCCCGAGGAAGGGATGTTTTCTCTAAACTATTCAACACCATCTCGTTATTTATCTTACTTAAAAAAATTCCCTACTTTGGGCCCCAAAGAAGCATTTACCCATTCAAATATCCAACTTCCTGAGATACAATAGGATGTCCAAATATCCAACCCTCACACAAAACAATTGCCTTATCGAACACCCCTTTTATTCATGGACTAGTGAGCATGAAACTACGTGGTGCTGATTTCATTTCAATCCTTTTCATTGTACTGAACAGTCATGAAATCAGACGAAGAATATTTTTTAATCCACTGTAAATTAGAGAGGTTTAGATAGTGTTTTGAATACTTTTGATCTGAAAGCCGAAGAAAAAACTACAGAATTTTGATAAAAGGTTGTGAATTTGTCATAACATATCACAATATGATGGTTTAAAAAAGTGATGAATTCTAATGGAGTTCCATTCGACAATATTTGTAATAGTGCTTAAACAGATAAAAAGATTGGCGGTGTTATGCTGAACCTGCAATAAAAAATTCCACGTCAAGATCTGCAAAAAAAATTGTGTCGAAAACAAGATGGGCTGTTGTTTTGGGAAGTATGCCGGAAAAAGAATGAAACAGACGAATCTCGGATAATCTGAAGGAATTTACTGATAACGGACCCTGAAATAATATTCAGCAAAAAGAAGTGAAATGGTTTTAGATTCAAGGTGAAAATGAATTATTGTTTCAAAAAGTGATGCTTTCAAAATTTATGACGGAAATCATTCCTAAAAGTGTGCAAAATTTGGAGGAATTCTTATTTCTGTGAGCATTCGAAGCGCATTTGAAACACGATAAATGTGATAAATGTGAAGTAATTACGGTAATTCCGTTTGCATTGGAAATTAATTCTAATAGTGTGGCAAATTTGGAGTAATTATTATTTTTCATATGCATTGGAAATACATTTTAAAATTGTTTTACCTCTTTTGTTCATTGTTTTATGTTTTCTGCACCTCGGTTGGGTATTTAAATATCCAACCGATATGCAGTTGGATATTTTGAATATCCAACCGATGGCGAGTTGGATATTTTAAATATCCAACTAGTGCTGGTTGAATCGGTAAAATATACGTAGACTAATAACAATTGGTGACGTCACAGAAATTTTTAAACATACTTCTCACAGCCAGTTACTAGTAGCCAGTTACTAGTAGCCAAATTTACTTACTTCTCGTAGCCAGCTACTAGTAGCTACCTTTACCACTTGTCGTAGCTAGCTACAAGTAGCTAACTTTACATATCTTGAAATTTTCACCTTTATGTACTGTATAATTGAACAGCATTTAGAAATGTGCCAAACAAATAACTTTTATCTGGTACTAAGTTATTGTTGTTTTTTATATTAGGTTGATTAAGTAACTAGTTACAAAGGTCTTTTAGATACATTTGTCTTTTTGTATGAATGAGTTCATCATATATCTAATTCACTTGCACACAATGTCAGTACGGAATGTGTAATGTCATATATCTATTTTACTCTGACTTGTTATGTATTGTAAATAGTCATATCTCTCTATGTATCTGTATACACGCACTTTCTTTTCCCCGAACGATAATCCAACCCAGAGAAGATGACTTTTGTCGTCATAACTCAGGCCCATTTGTACATTTATTCCTTGTAGTCGTGTCAGTATCTGTAACAGGAAGTGACCGTCGCTGTCAAGCATATGTATTGTGTCGGTGATAAAATCACACACCAGGATGTGTGACAGAGCGTCTGAACAGATTCCTCGTGGACTTAGCCAGGATCCTGATGGGTGTCCTGTGTAGGAGAAGCGATGTCTTCCTCCACTCTCTGTCACCACTACAGCACCACTGCCTATGTCAGACACAATAACATCTCCATTGCGGTTCTCTGAGATGTAGATAGGATCAGAATACAGTTCCTGGCCTTTATTGTCTTTCCGCATTGTCTGTTTATGATATCGTAGGTCATTATAGCGTGTTATAACGCCTGTGTTGTAGGACCACATTCCGATCAGTAAATCGCCGTTGAGGTGGGAGGAGTAGATACACCGTGGTATCCATGATTCTGTTTTTTTTATCAATGTAGACTTTGTTCTGTTATCTTTAGAGAGTTTGATAATGTTACCATCCCTGTCTATGTAAATAAGATCACCAGTAAGATTTACAGTGTGTTGTCCCCACACGCTCGGTACATCTGTCACATGATGTAGTATGTCACCCTCTGAGTTTATCAAGATAAAATTATCACCATCACTGATCCAGACCCGGTCTGGTGTCACACCGGAAATATGAAATACATGTATTTTGCCTAGCAATTTGACACACCTGTGTAATACAGGTGTAGACATCAGTTTCAGCAGACATTCATTTCTCACTTGTCTTTTTCCTGTCTCTATTATTTGGATTTTAGCCAGTAAATCAGTCACATTCTCTACGTTGATTTCTTCAATCAGGCAGACCAGGGCAATTTTTTTTAGACTTGGCGTGTCCATTAACTTGTGAACATGAATTGTCTTTTGTAACATGATAAATTTTAGCGGTCTGTTTGCTAACTGTTCAGCTCTGTGTTCAAAGTTTACTATGTTGGAAAGATGTTTCTTCTGCTGTTGTAAACTTTGAATTAATCTTTTGTGTCTGATTTTAATATCACACATCACAGTGTCTTTGAGGTTCCTTAGTTTCTGAGCTTTTATTAACATCTTTGACTGATTGTTGCATATTTCTGTGTGACAATGTTTTATATCAGATTTGATTCCTGCCAGAACACAAGAACTGTTATAGAGAGTCTCACTTCTGATGTTGTGAATGATTTCACTGTGTTCTTGACGGTTTGTTTTGTATGCTGTTCTAATGTCTTGTATGTCGTAATGTCCGTGTTCTACACAGTGGGAACAGATAGAAATTTTACAAGAATGACAGTACTTTTGATAAAACATGCCTGGATGTCTCTCACAAGTCTCTTGTTTTGTAATGTATTCAAATTTCTCACGGTAAATCACAACATCATGGTATATGGTATCTAGATCAATAACATGTCTCTCTTTACACAGTAGACACAGGTCATGTTCACATGTGTTACAGTAGAATTCTGTGTCCCCCTCACATTCAGAACACTGCCTGACTTTACACGGGGGGCCGAATCTTGAACCCATAATCTTGTAGACAAAGTCTCTTGTTTTCAAAGTAGTTATATTTTTTCAAGTAAATCACAACATCATGGGATATGGTTTCTAGATCAATAACATGCTTCTCTTGACACTGTAGACACAAATCATTATTATTACACGTGTTACAGTAGAATTTTGTGTCCCTTGACACTGGAAACACTGACGTACTCTACACGGGGTGTTGTATCATAGCCTGTCTATGATTTACATGATTTAGTTGTCATGTTCACAATCCGCTGAAAGTAAATGAAATCAAAATGTATCAAACACAATACCAGGTCAGAAAGCATGATTGCAAATGTTTTAAAAGAAAAAGATTAACTTAAGGACAGATTGGATGTTACTTTCCCCAATAATATATAACATTTTAAAAAATATTTTGTCATTGAAGTTTTGTTACAATAATTTGTTTGTTTACTCACAAAAAATGGAGGTACCTTACAAAACGCTTGTGCAAAATAGCAAAGGGTAGAGTTTTTATTTAACCTTATGGGGAAAAATCAAATCTTACAAAACTTTTTTTGCTTCAAGTTTTTTAAATGATCAGAAACTGGTTTAGAAATCAAGTTTTTATTGAAATTTTGAATAGTTTTCATACAATATAAAAATATTTTCAGCAGAGATTTGATGACCTTATCGTCTGACCTTAATAAAACTTCATTTGCACAAAATCTCGAAATAAATTAATGGGATTAACTAATAAAGGTTTAAGCCATTTATCAAAGTGAAATACATAATGTACCTTATTTTTTATTTTTATCGGGTTCGGCTGACAGTGTATGTTAGCTAACCCGAATAGAATTATTCCTTTCTTTCCCGGGGTTATTAGCGTTACCTTAATAGAACATTTGACGTCACACGACGTTGTGTCATCAGTCGACGCTGAAACTTTCAAAGGTACACTGTAAGGATGTGTTTTTGAATCAGCAAATCATTTTTGTAAGTCTGGTCTATCTTATAAAAAAATATTCATCTTAGTTTTATAAGAATTGGAAAGGATTATTAACACAATTCTACGCTTCGATGCATAGATATTTTTTAAAGTTTCGACGGATTGGTTGAAAAAAAATCTAGGCAAACCATGCCGTCATGCGGCCATGCGGCGCAGCAGCTCGTGTTTATATATAATTTCTTAAAAGCCTTATAATAACAGTCTTGATTCTAAACAGAATTATAATTACGGATGACTTGAGCTTTTGCTGTTTTGTAAAGGATATTTTCTATATTTTTAATGCGAGACGACTAAACAGAATGCCGAAGCGTAAAGCAGATAGCAATAGTCAGCCCACGCCAAGGAAAGGTCAAAGGAGAGGACATTGTCCTCGATCGGCGTATGTTGTTGCTGCAGCATTGACTGCCCCCTCATTGCTGATTGATCATTCTCAGCTACCAGTTAGCAGCCTTCCAGCATATCATCACTGAAAGCGTAACCTCTTTGATAAGGAATCACAGGGGGGCGTAGTAGAACCAGAATCCTCCCCTATTTTGGATGAAACCTCAGGTGATACAAATATTTCTAGTGCATGTAGGGAAGCTGTACCCAGCTATGACAATGAGTATGGACATAACGTCCCAAACAATGTAAAAATAAATATTGCCAATGGGGAGTACATAAATTTAGGTATACTGCTTAATAATGTCCAAGAAACTGACCCCAATGATGATACCAAAATATTTTTCTCTAAAATACGGGAAACTTGCAGTCACGAGTAAGGCTAAAGCAAAACCCATTACAGACATACAAGTATTGACTGGCGCTTTCCTGATATTTTCTACGATATCTGCATCCGCTCATCCCCATGCAGCGGTATCTTTTGCTGAAATATATACACACAATACGGTTAGGCGCCAGTTGTATTATGGGGTCGGGCAGGCGGGACTATGACATCCAGTTCCGACTTAAAAAAGAACGTAATTCTGTATTATCATTTGCAGTAGTTGACCAAGAGTTGTGGTTACCTCTTTATTTATAACATACCTATGAGGGTGCCGTCTGTGCAGGGATCAGAACCCAATCCCACTGCAGTCAAGTGTTATGATTTTAATTATAAAGGTGCCAAGACAACAATGTCAATACAGCCACACGTGTATCCTTTGCTCACAGCCACACACACACACACTAAGCACACAGAAATTCAAGCAGCCCTAAATACCTATAGCAAACCCCAATCGAGTTCAATCCAATCCCCCCCCCCTTAGGTATCAAGATTCACTAACACCTTTTAGAATTAGGTAACAACTTTACAGCAAGGGTTTCAGGATTTCCATTTATATCTGGACATAAAGGTTTCACCAGCACAGGGAGAGTTTGGGCCATGAATGCACTATGACTAGT